CTATTGCTTCAGAGTATTCTGCGGGAATATAACTTATCTGAAAAAGTTTTTTCATTTGGTTTTGATAATGCTACTAATAATACTGCTGCTATTCCTAGACTTAGAGAAATTTGCCCACCGTCTACGACTATGGGTAGATTTCTGCATCAACGGTGTGTCTGTCATGTTTTAAATTTATGTGTTCAACAGGGACTACAAGCTATGGGCGGAGTTTTGACAAATATTAAAAAAGGAATTAAAAAAATTTGGGGGGCTCGTTTTATTTCGAGATCCTGGAAGATGTTCTGTAAGTCTAAGGGTAAAAAAGAAATAAGTTTTGTCAGAGATATCAACATTAGATGGAATAGTACTTACAAATTGATTGCACAGATTCTAAGATATAAAGAGGAACTTGCTGAATTTTTTAGGGATGAACTTCGTATAATCATTAATCCTTTTGAATTTGTTATTGTTGAAAAATTGAATGCCGTATTAGAAGTTTTTAATAACGCAACTCTTACTTTTTCCCATGTTTACCAACCAACTACAAATACATTTTTTAAAGAGTGCATTACAATCGCAACATGTTTTCGTGAAAGTATGGCTGATCCAGATTTATACCCTTATGTCTCTCCTATGAGAAATAAATGGTGTACTTATTATTTGTACATTCCTGATATTTATAAAATAGGTATTATTTGTGATCCACGATTTAAGATTGAAAATTTTAAAATTCTAATTAAGATCTTCTCGTTTTGACTTTTTGCGGTTTTTTAGGAGAGTTGAAAAAAGATGAAAGTTTACCATAATACCCTTAATGAAAATGGGTGGAGTGTATTAAATGAGGTAGGTGAGATGTAATAAATAAAGTAAATGGGGGTAGTTGTGGTATTTTAAGTGTTAAAAAAGGTAATGAGAAGATCTATGGTGGACAAATAAAAAGGGCTAATGAGAAGATCTATGGGGGACGGAGGGAGTACTACAGTTGTTTTTTAGATAAAAATAGTTATTACTACAGCTATTCAGTAGAATGGAAAAATGAAAGAGATAATGCTATAACTCTTTTTGAGGATTTGTTTAAGGAATATCAAGGGTTATATGGTACTGTACAAGAAGAAACAGCACCACCTCCGCCCCCGAAATCAAAAAAAGGTTTTGCCGGCATAGTCGGTGGGCTTCTTGCAAAGAAAGGGAAACGTGCCCAGTCTTCAATGAGTTCAAGTGGTACAACAGTAAGCTCGCACAACGAACTTGCTATGTACCAGGGTGTGCCATGCGACTACGATGACGACGATGTCGATTTTGACGTGCTCGGATGGTGGAAACGGAACGAACACATGTTCCCATGTCTCGGCATGCTAGCAAGACAAGTGTTGTCCGTCCCAGTATCAACCGTAGCAGTTGAACGAGAATTCAGTGCTCGCGGCAACATTCTAACCGACTACCGAAGTTGTCTTAACGCTGAATCTCTTGAAACACTGGTTTGCAACCAAGATTGGCTCTTGGCAAGACGTCGAGCTCAAGAGTCATCGTACCAACTCGAATCGGAGCATTACATGAATGCAACCACAGATGGAAGTCCGAGTTCTGAAGAATAAGTTATAAATTTTTTTTATGTTAATGTAAATATGTAATTAATTTTTTTTAGGTGAGCGATAAATAAGCTCTTTCGAGGGTTTCTTTACGGTTCTTTACCTCGTCGCTTTTTTTGAACCGTCAGGATATTAAATGTGGTTGTTCTTCAGTTAGTGTATTACTCATTTTCAATATTTAAATAACAACTACATTTTTAGATTTTTTATTTCATTCTTTCCTTAAACAATTGCAAATTTACAATTTTATATTTTAAAAATTTAAAAAAAAACAAAAAAAAGGGGGGGCCGAACCGGGCCGGTCCGGGAACCGGAACCAGCCGGCACGGTAACATTTCCGGTTACTCGGGGTGGCGGTACCGGAACCGGCGGTTCCGGAACCGGAACCGTCCAGGAACCCTATCGTGTCCACCCCTAGATATACTCCGTATTAAAGTATACTCAGGGTACAAACTATTTGTTTTATTTTTTACTCTTTTTTCCATTCAAAATGTCCTCCTTTTTGTGCAGGGGGAGGGGGTCCTACTTCATTTTTATAGCATTTGTTTAAAAGAAATTTCACGTGGCCCACTTCACACTTCGTGACAACCATAATAATCTCAACTTTACTTGATTTTTCAAAATAATATCATTTTTCACAGTGATGCAAAATAATTCTAATTTTATTGATATATGCAAGTCTTGGGTCACTGTTAAGTTGCTAACGATGGATTAATAGAAACAGCCAGTTTTTTGCAACAAAATAAAAGTTATGATTATTTTTATAAATTTTTTTTTCTTTTGAAATTTTAATTTAAATTTTTAAAATGACTTTCTACCTCTATCATTTCTTTTCTTTTTTCTAAAAATTAGTCTTACTTTAGAAAAAAGAATATATATATATATATATATATATATATATATATATATATATATATATATATATATATATATATATATATATATATAAAGCGAAAATGAGAAATTAAATAAAATCATAGAAAACTAATGAAATAAATAAAGTAATCAATAGAAAATAACCTAAAATTGGTAAGAAGATGTGTTTTTTTATTTTACGTACTATATAGAGTATTAATGAACCACTTCTTCTTAGTTTTTTTGGAAAAAATATCTAAAATAATTCCAACTTTACATGTTCTTTCAAAAAATAAAAAAAAGTACATTAATACTCTGCATAGTGCGTAAAATGTTACAACTTACAACAATCACTCCTTACATTTTTATTTTATTTCTTACCAGTTTTAGTTTGATTTCTATTGATTACCTCATCTATTTCATTATTTTTTAATGGTTTTAGTTATTTTTCTCATCTTCATTATTTTTTATATCAATTTTTTAAATTTTTTCTAAGGTAAGATAATCTTTAAAAAAGAAAAAAATAGAGGTAGAAAGTCATTTTAAAAATTTAAATAATTTTTTTTAAAAAAAACTAAAAACGGAAATTCATCAAAAATAATCTTAACTTTCATTTTGTTGCACAAAGCAACCCAGTTTTGTTAAACCACCGCTAGACCTTAACGGCGATCCAAAATTCATAAATTTCAGTAAAGTTGGAATTATTATACATCATAGTGAAAGTTGGAATTAATTTTGAAAGACTAGACAAAATTGGGATAATTCAAGATAATTCTTCCTGATCTTAAATAAATTTTCATAAAGAATTTTATTAATAACCATACAATATGTAATGAGATTTACATAAAAAAAGAAAAAATTTATGAACCACACAATTGTTTTAAAATGTTTTCTAACAAATTAAAAATCTAAAATCAATGACGTAAATATATCTGAACCAATAAAGATGACGTGAATATATGTGAATTAAATATACGATTATGCTACGTGTACACCAAGATTTGTACCCCAATTTGTACCCCGCAGTTTTGCACCAACATTTTGTGTTGGTGTAAAACGAATTTTTGTTAAACACACCAACATTTATTAACGCACCAACACTTGTGTCGGTGTAAACCATCGAAATGTTTGTGCAAACCTGTGGTGTACAAATGAGGTATATTTTTGTGTGTAAGTGTAGCATGGTCCTTAAATATATCTTGGAATGTTCAAAAGGTGAATTTAGACTCCAGAAAATTGCTCAGAAGTGACACAGGTCTTGTTGAAAATACTCTCTCTATCCTAAAACTATCTTCCCGTTTGTATTTACGAGATTTGACCAACTTTATTTTTAATTCAATTTATTGATTGTAGGTGTAAAATTAAAAAATAAAATTTATACATTTAAAAACTACATCAAAAGTTCTACAAAACAAGAGGTGACAAGACTATTTCATTTTATCAAATAACTAACGAAAATAAGTAAAAAAAGTGATTTAAGTTTGATTATGTGAATAGTAACTGGAAGATAAGTTTAGGCAGGGAAGATAGTAACTCTCAGGTCATTCTATATTAAAAAAAGACAACAGAGATCTTTACATTTTATTCTAATAATTCGGAGAGGACATTCTGTCAAATACTTCATCCATAAACGTTAATAAATGTGTTTTTTTCCCTATTTTGCTCTTAATAATATTTTATGGTGATAATTCTTAGGTCCCTCATTTTTGGTTTCTTTGTTTTTTGTTACTCTTTTTTAGATATTTTTTTAATCTCTTCTATAAAAATGTATACAAAATTCAGAATTGTTTGAATGATATAAACTAAATAAAATAAGAAATTTCGTATAAAGAAAAGTCCGAGTAAAATTTAAAAAATTGAAAAATAAAGCAAATTTTTTCCCCCTAGAAAGTCCTCAGTTTTTTTTACCACTTTGTACAGAGTATTAAAAATAAAAAAAGAGATCTAGTTTTCTTTTTTGATAAGATTTTATTTCAATATCATACAAAAAATTGAATTTTTGAAATTATTTTCTAGAAGAAACTTTTAAAAAAATCTTTATGAAAAAGGAAACGAAGTAAAAAAAATAGAAACAAAAAAAAGAAACAAAGAAACTAAAAAGTAAGGGATTTAAACGTTTTTACCATAAAACATTATGGACGAAATAGAAAAAACGTATTAATTAACGCCAATGATGAAATATTTTCTCTCAGTCATTACAACAAAATTTAAGGACCTCTCTTACCTTTTTAAAAATACAGGAATCTGAAAGTTATTTCGACAAAACATGCGTCACTCGAGAGTAGTTTTTTGTTTAGACTCCCAGTCCCATGTATCCAGTACGTTAATCCTTTTTTTTGTTTGTTTTGCTCCGTCAATCAATGGGTAGGAACTAGGAAGACCAAAAAAAATGGAAAGCTAATTAAGATCCTAAGTTTTGGTAAAGCATTCGGCCATTCATGCGAATCTGGACCTTATGTTTCTAATACTTATTCCCTTCAAAAAAATATATATTTATTTTTTAGTTATATCAAAAAAACAATTCTCATCCCATCATAGCCCTCCCTAGTAGTCACTCCTAATTCTTGACAATTTAGTATCAAAATGTTGACAATGCATGGATTGTCACCCAAATTTGTCTAGCTTATTAGATTTTTTTTTAAAAACAGAAATATATTTATTTTTTAGTTATATCAAAAAACAATTCTCATCCCTTTTTTTTAAAGTCAAGGTGAACCTCCGGAAAAGATTAGATTCACTCCCCCTTGATATTTGGAGAATGGATATATTCGGGCCCGCATGGGCAGCTCAATTGATCGAGAACGTGAAATCTTAGACCGATGAACCCTGATCGAGTCCCGCAAGCGGCAATGTGGGAGCTATCCAAAAATCTCATAAAGGGTGAGGAGGCTCCTTGTGCACGGTGAGCGCGGGTCTAGCGTTCTTGACCGACTGAGTCACCATGATTTACCTCCTCCACCATCCTTGTCGGGCCAGGGGATGGGGGCGCTTGGGGTGGGCGATTCCACCTTTTGGACCGAGAATGGATATATTCGGGGGTGGGGGTGGGCCAGGGTGGTGGATAGGGTGGGAGTTAAATTAAAATTTCAATTTTTTTTGTTTGTTTTGTACTTCCTTTAGAAGAAGAAAACTTATTTTTTGTTTCCTTTCCTTTTTTATATAATGTTGCTTCATATGACACATTTTCAAAAAAGAGAAAGAAAACCTTTTTTTGTATAAATTTTGTACTTTTACTTTTTTTTATAACAAAACAAAAAAATTATATTAACTACTTTAACTTAAAAGAAAAAAAATGAGACATAATATATACTCAAAACGTGTTTCATTTTAAAATAATAATAATAATAAGAATAAAACACAATTCGTGCAATTCAGAAGTGTTTGAGTGAAAATATAATCAAGATATAAGGCCAAATATATATATATATATATATACATATATATATATATTATATATATATATATATATATATATATATATATATATATATATATATATATATATATATATATATATATATATATATAA